CTTATCAGAGAGGAACCTAGGGCATATGGGTTATCTCATTCAATCCTTTATGTTATTCTTCTGTTTAACTCTAAAGCACAAATCCTAAGGAGATAATCACACAAAACAATGAGAAAAGGGGTACAATTAATTAGATTAAAATAAAAATCCCCTTTAAGGCTCAAATCTCACATATGTGGGTTAAAGTTTAATGTATAACATAAAAGTAAGGAACTTAGCTAATTATTATTTTTCAAATGAAAGTATAATGTCAATAATAATCACTTAACATGTTCTTCTATCTAGAAAAATTGGGTTCTATGAAGGAAAAAGTTTTAAATTATCACAAAAAAATAGCATAGACACTTTACTCAAGAACATGCAATAACAGTTATATAATTAGTAACTACTCCCCCATACTTAAAGCAAAACACTGTCCTCAATGTTTGAAAGCAATTAAATTAAAAGCATGCAAAGAGGGCAATTGAATAAAAGGAAAGAAGTTCCCTGATAATTATTGGCGCAACGACTTCGAGTGAGGGAGCATGACCAAGCTGAAATCTTAAGCACGCCCATGCTTATGATGTAAAGCTTCTTTCACAATTGCGACTGAATGCATGGCCGTGTATGGGATGAGCATGGGCGTGCTTTCAGATCAAAGCTTAAAAGTGTGTGGGGGAACTATCAACTCCGTTCTTGCAATCTTTCAATATGCTTATTATTTATTCTAAAAATAAAATAACAATAGCAAAATTAAAATAAACAAAAAGAAATAAAATTTAAATAAATAAAAGACACATGTTGTCTCTTAAGAGCGCTTGTTTAACGTTACGAGCCTGACGTTCCTGGTAAATTATGATGGGAAGAAGGCATGAGTCTTAGAGGTGACTCCCTTGATATGTAATTGTCTTCCCAACAGCTTTGCCTCCCCAACACCTATTACATCAGAAAAATTATTCATAAGATGAGGATTAGAATAAAAAGAAGAAAATTTAAACTCTAAATTAGAAGGCTTATTAATGGATGGTTTAAGCTTTTGTCTCTTCTTCTTCTTATGTTGTTTCCTCCTTGGCCTTCTTCTTGTGGTTCCATACTTCACATAAATTGGAGGAGGAGAAGCAACATCCACAGTGCTCACAAAGTGACAGGACTCTTGGCTAGAAGGGTACTTGAAAGAATTGAAAACTTGAAATACAACTTCCTCATCATCTAGCCTCAATGTAAGCTTCCCTTCTTGTACGTCTATGATGGCCCTAGCAGTGGCCAAGAATGGTCTCCCTAGTATGATGAGGACATCATCATCTTCCTCCATGTCAAGTACCACAAAGTTAGTAGGAAATATAAACTCCCCAACTTTTACTCTATGTTCTCCATCATGCCTTTAGGGTATGTGATCGACCTATCTGCCAGCTGAAGTGACATGGAGGTTGGCTTATGTTTATGCATTCCAAGCTTCCTGAAAACAGAATAAGGCATAAGATTAATACTTGCTCCTAAATCACATAAAGCCTTATCAATATGAGTTTTTCTAATTGTAGAAGGAATAGTAAAACTCCCTGGGTCCTTATGCTTAGGTGGAAGCTTTTTAAGGACTATAGCTGAGCACTCTTGGGTGAGCTTCGTAGTTTCATGTGCTCTCAACTTTCTTTTATTGGTCAACATCTCCTTTAAAAATTTAGCATATTTGGGCATTTTGGAGATATCATCAATGAAAGGCATATTGATGTGAACTTTGCCCAATAAGTCTAAGAACTTATGAAACTCTTCATCACAAGGAGGGTGACCTTGCAGCCGCTGTGGAAAAGGTATCTTAGGGTCCTACGACCTTGGTTGAACAAGAGGCTCTTCCTTCTTTTCCTTTTCAGGCTTTTCGCTTGAAGCACGGTCTTGCTCATAGTGATGCACGGCCGTGCTTTGATCATTGTCATGGGCGTGCTTGTATAAGCACGATCGTGCTTCTGTTGTAGCAGGGGCGTGCTCATCAGTAAACACGGGTGTGCATGTAGAATCAACATGGGCGTGTTTCTCTATAAGCATGGGCGTGCATGTGCCTCTTTTCTGCGATTCTTGTAGTTTCTTCCCACTTCCAAGGGTAATGGCATTGTATTGCTCCCTTGGATTAGGTTCAAGCTGAGATGGCAATGTTCCCATCACTCTTTGACTCAGAAGGTTCATAATTTGCTCCAATTGTGCACTCATCTTGAAAGAGTTGACTTGTATTTCAGATTTGACCTCTGTGAACCTATTATTAGTTCTCTCAATATGTTGGTCGAACTTGGATTAAGCTCTGTCATCCTCTTATCAGAGTAATGCACATATTGCATCATTTGTTCTTGAAAGTTAGACTGAGATCTAGGGGCTTCTTTCCCTTCTGGTCTTGTTCCTTGATTTTGCATATAGGGAGGGTGATAAACACTTGAATTTTGGCTTCCAACGCCATTCCCCCAATAGTTAAGAGCTCTTATAGGTTGGTCTTGAGTCTTCATTAAATATTCTAATTGCTTTGCAAGGGCTGCCATTTGATTCATTAGTGGGCTGCTGCTTTCTGCTTGATAGACTAGAGCGGTTTCTTTGCTCTTGATGTCGTAAGAGTCAGCAGTGTGCCACTAAAAGCTAGAAGATGTTATCTCATCTATTAGTTTGTATGCATCTTCTGGATCTTTTCTTATGAGGGACCCTCTGCTGCGGCATCAATTGTAGTCCTGGTAGTGATTGATATGCCACTGTAAAAGATTTGCACCTGCCTCTAAGTTAGAAAGTCATGGTGCAAGCATCTTCTCAACAATTCCCCGAATCGCTTCCATGCCTCGAACAGTGATTCTGTCTCATATTGTTGGAAACAACATATTTTTGTCATAAGCTTGGAGGATCTTGATGAAGGAAAGTACTTTCCCAAGAACTGTTGAGTGAGATCCTCCCAAGTTGTGATGAAATTGGCTGAAAGTGAGGAAAACCATGTGTTCACCCTTTCAGACACTGAGAATGGGAAAAGGCAGAGTCGAATAACATCGTTGGAGACTCCATTGTACTTATAGTGTCCGTCAATTGGAGGATCTTTGTCAGATGGAGATTGAGGTCTTCATTAGGCATGCCTCCAAACTGTATGGAGTTCTGGACCATGGTTATGAATGTTAGTTTCAATTCAAAATTGTTTGCCTCCACATTAGGGGCCGCGATGCTTCCAGGAGTGTCTCCAGCAGTGGGTGTCATGTAATCTTGAATTGATCTCCTTCCTTCTACCATTCTTTGTACTCTTACTTCTTTTCTTTGTCTACGAACTGTTCTTTCAATCTCCGAATCAAATAAACAAGTTGTAGAGCACTTAGAACGAGTGAGCATACATTAAAAGAAATTGTGAAATAAAAAAAATTAAATTAAAATAAAAACAAAAATTATAAAATATAAAAGAAAAATTTAACAATAAACAAACCAGAATTAAAATAAAATAAAACACAAATTGCTCAAATCAATTAAATTTGGTATTTTCTTAATATTGAAAAAGTAATCCCCAGCAACGGTGCCAAAAATTTGTTCGAAGGACAAATATACCCATTGAGAAGTAATAAAAAGTTCTTAAATTAAGTTCCTAAAATATCGTCCCACAATGATTGTTTTTCAATTACTAAGAATTTTCTAATTCAATTGTTTAAGCTTCAAAGATATGAGATTAATTAAAACAAGAATTTATAAAATTAATTATAAACTAAGAATAAGGAATACAATGCACGTCTTGGTTAAAATTATCGAAGAGGAACCCAGGGCATATGGGTTTCCTCATTCAATCCTTTATGTTATTCTTCTATTTAATTCTAAATTCGATTTTCTTGTGATTACCAATCATTCATACGAATACTATTAATACCCAATGGTCATGTAATATTAATATTCTTTTCTCTAAATTAACATCCTCAATGGTCATGTAAGACATCAATTTAAGAAAGCTTAAGGAACCTATGAACTTGTTAATTTAATAACGATTAGAAGAGAAAGATTGGTTTGGTCCACCTAATCCTTTGTCTCGTTTTACCCTATAGATCTATTAATTAACCGAGGTACGGTCGCCTAACGATATAATTAATTAGGATTAAGAAAGGAGCGCAATAGGATAAAATCTAATCACAAAACAAAAATTAAATTTAGATTCAAACATCAAAATTTCATAAATTCATGAATAATAGTTCTCATAGCCCTAGCTATGGACTTAGTTACTCATGCTAAAGAAAAGAACTAAAACAATCATAAACAAAGCCATAATCAAAAGAAATAACAAACTAGAGTGTGAGATGTGTTTCTGGTCTTCAAGTACGATCGCTTGAAGCTTCAAGTCTCGCTAAGCATGTGTCAAGGATTTGGTGCAATAGAGACGAGATCAGATGTATTTTAGAGCCAAAGCCAAGATGTAAAAACTATTATTTTACAATGTTTGAGATCTTCCCTTTTATAGGATTTGAAAACCCTAAAAACTTTTCATAATTAGGCTTCCTGCAGATGAACACGGCCGTGCAAGGCCTTAAGCACGGCCATGCTTAGGCTCAAAGCACCCCCGTGCTTATTGAATAGGTTTGGGCGTGCTAACTGCTGTGAAGCTCTAATCTTCCATCAATTTGGGCCCAAAATGCACCGAAAATTTACTTGCGACCTCTTTATACTAAATTGTACAATTAATATATAAATTAATGTAAAACTCAAATAAAATAAAGGTCAAATATGAATATCTGGACTGTAAAATAGGGCCTAATTATATACTTATCATTAGTGCAGGGATTTTCTCTGAAAACATTTGGCTTTGCAGATGGTTCTGTGCAACGAAAGTTTCAAAATTTTTGGCTTCATATCCTCTACTCCTTGTAGGGTGTCTAGAATTAGAATTTTGGTACATAAATGAAGCCATCTTCTCTATAATTCATTGAGCTTCCTCTAATGATTTAGTATTCAATGATCCTCCCGCAGCTGCTTCAACCATGGTTTTAGTGGCTGGACTCATTCCATTGTAAAAAGTTTCCAGTTGCATCCATTCCGGTATGTAATGGTGTGAACATTTCCTCAACAGCTCTTTATATCTCTCTCCCAAGCTTCATACAAAGATTCTCTTTCTTGTTGCACAAATGATGTGATCTTACCTCTTAATTTGGCAGCTTCAGATGGTGGAAAATAGTTGGTAAGGAACTTATTGACAAGGTCTGCCCAAGTGGTTATGTTTCCTTGTGGTTGAGCTTGTAGCCAACATTTATCTTTATCTCTTAATGAAAATGGAAAAAATCTCAATCTAATTGCATCCTCACTGACTACATTCATCCTTACTGTGTCACAAAGCTGCAAAAAGTTAGAGATACGTAAGTTAGGGTCATCTGAAATTGAACCAGAAAATTGATCTTGCTGAACTAAATGAAGTAAAGCTGATTTTATTTCAAAATGGTTGGCTTGTATGGTAGGTCTAACTATAGAGGAGTTATATCCATGCATATTAGGCATTGCATAATCCCCTAAAGTTCTCATCATGTTTTATTCAGCCATTTTCTTCTCTTAAGGAGTTAGTGGTGTAGGAGAAATAATTTGAAGTTCTTCCGATTTAGGAGTAGAAGGAGTAGATTCAAATTCTTGCTCTTTGCTTGCTAAATTTCCTGCTCTCAATTCATTTCTCAGCCTTCTTAGTGTTCTGCCTATATCCGGATCAAACACAAGAACAACCTTGTTTTTATTTTTCTTGCGCATAAAATACAAGAAAACTAAACACAACAAAAACACTTGAAATTGATCAAAATACATAACAATATTATGCAGAAGGAATACTAGCAGAATATCCTACAAGAAATTAAGAAAGAATACTAACATATAAACATTTAACTGAACACAAAATATAATGACAAAGAATTTATATAGAACTAGATAGCAACATATGCAGAAAAACTAGCAAAAAGGTAATACGAAATTCAATTACTAAAAGCAGAATTTAAAAAGAAAACAAAAAACAAATAGCTCAATATAATTGTCTTCTTGCTACTAATGATATTAAAAAATGAAGATCCCCAGCAACGGCGTCAAAAACTTGATACATGTAAATTGAATTAAAAATATAGCAGTCTTCTTTTGCGTAAAATTCTTAACTAGCAAGTATACTATGTAGTTTTAGCAAGTAATAAAATTTAGAAATCAATATGAGTCTCAAGTATTGTCCATAAGGATCTTATTTTCAATTACCAATTCATAATTCAACAATTATTTGAGTCACACAATTCATTTGGAAGATTTGTAAACATGTAAAAGTAAGGAATAAGATCAATAAAAGGTAACAAATGTGCTGTGAAAACAGAATACGAAATTTGTATTAAAAATGCTATATGAAAAATAGTTAGGAATCATTTCACCAGATTTTCAATTGCAATATAATAATGTTCTGGACTCTTAAGAATTCTAATTGATTGATAATCAATTTCACATCTTTAACCAAAGGATAATTCCTTGCCTCATTGATCCTAATATCTAATTAAACCTCCCTAATTTCTTAGGTGAAATTCAATCAAATATTGCATTAAGTTCTAAAAATTATAGGATTACTAGATTATGATACTTAGTCATAAGATCTCAATAACCTAGGCACATGATTCAGATATGAGAAATAAACTTAATTTTCATTGATAAAAATTCTTCTAAGTTCAATTGAATGAATGATTAGTTCACAATTAAAAATAGAATTATATACTCAGTTCAATTAAAATCTCAAGGTCCAGATCCAAAACTACATCACAATATCAAATCTGGATCCATATATTCCTAATAAAAAAGGTTTAGAACAACATTACAATGGAAAATGGAGAAATAAGAGAAGAACATCTTCCAAGACTCAATCTTCACCTTGATTCCTCTAGCAATGAAGCTTGAAAGTCATTCCCAATCTTTCTCTCTCTCACTTCCCTTGGAAGTTAAAACAATTACAAAGTGAAAAATAACAAAAAATGAACAAAAGTTACAAATCTAAACTCTCAACTTCTATTTATTGTGTTTTTCCCGCCTTTTCCACTTTCACGCATTAATCTCTGAAGATTATAGCATGAAAGGTCTTCTAGAAGCTTCTATAACTGAATTAAGAACTCAAATCGTCCAAAGTCGACACTTAGAAGTGATTTTCAAAATTTTGTTACTTTTGTGTGAACATTCTAAGTGATCAGAATGTTAACACGCATGTGTTTTCTGAACTTTTGTCTTGCGCGTGTTCATTTTAGGTGGTTAGAGTGTTAACACACTTTTGCGCGTGACTATTCTCAAAGATGATGATCAAAATCCTCTCATGAAAACAACTTAGTATGTATAATTGAATATGCTTAAAAAAAAATTCTATTACTTTTAATAAAATTTTTAACTCATTTATATAATATAATTGATAGATTTTTAATTTTCAACAAAAGTTAATTATTCAAAAAATGATTGGTAAGTTATAATAGACTTCAATTTAAGATACATAACAGAGCTACACAATAATTGATAACTAAATAATTTTTTTTAAGAAACCATTAAATTATTACTAAATTGGTAATCGATTAATGATCATGGTAATTGATTGTTGAGTTATTTTGTACTAAAGGAAATGGATTTTTAACAATAAACTTATTTGATGATCGATTATTACTCTTGGTAATTGATTACTAAATAATTTTGTATTGAGAAATTTAATTTTTAAAATAACAGAATATATTTGTAATCAATTACCCAATCTAGTAATTGATTACTAAGATAGTCTGATAAATAAAATTGAGTTAATTAAATATGTAAACCTTAATTTTTGATTGAGTTAAACTAAGATTTTAACTTCCTAAATTTTAATTATGAGAGCACTTAAATAAAAAAACTCTTTTAACATTATCATGTATACAAATAAACTATAATACGCAAAGTACAACATTCATGCATGCAAGCTTGAATTAAGGTCCTAATGAATGAATATTTGTCTTTAGGATTTGTTTGTGAGTTTGGAGGAGAAGGAAGGAAAATAGTTTGAAAAGAGAAGAAGCGAAAGGGAAGAGAGCGGGAAAAAGGTTAAAGATGTTTAATATTGAGAAGGTAGGATAATAGAAAAGTTTAATTATATAAATAATTTTAAAATTAATTTTTATTTTTTAAATTTTTTTAAAAAAAATTATCACTTGAAAAACTAACATTTAAAAAAAAGTTAAAAAAAATTCTCTTTATAAAATAATATGAAAGAGTGAGAGAGATAAAACTTTCAAAATAAGAGCACTCAAAAAATAAGCTTTTGGAGAGTTTAGAAAAACTCTCAAAATCTTCCCTTCCTAATTAAGCAACTCTCAAACAAGATTAAACTCATTTTAATCTCTTCTCTTCCCTCCTTTCCTAAATCTAACTCCCAAATATAGCTTTAGCAAAACCCTTTTGTTATAATCAATAGAAACTTTTTCTCATACTATAAATTTGTTGTTTGTATGAATAATTTATTACTTTTATGTATTTTAAAATTAACAAATATATAAATTTTGCATACTTTTAAAAGTACAAATATGAATGGTCGTGAATTTTGCTGATTATTCAAGAATTGAGCATTAATTTAATATTTATTATAAGTGAATAGAAGAATATGAAAAGGTGTATACAAACTAATTTAATGAAATTTAATCAGATGAGTTCTAGCATTTTACCAAAGTCATAAGTGGGAATCACATGACCATCAATCTCAAGTGGAGTGCATGAATTCAGTTTTAAAAGATACTCAAAATTTTAAAATCACTTGTAAGATAAATTTACTTATATAAGAAATCATCGATAATATTTTTGGGACTCCATATTCAAGTAATTTCACAAAATTTATTTTACCTATTTTGGAGTCTCTGACACATTCAGGCTAAGATTACGATCCAATAGTTTTTGTCTGTTTCCCAGCTTGTACTTCAGTTCCTATCCTTCTTATGACGAGAACAACATAGAAAAAGCTAACAACGATATAATACAGGGATAGAGAGAAAGAAAGAGAGAGAACAAAAAATAAAATAAAATAAAAATGGAAAGAGGTGTCAAATTAGTCAAGTGGGGATATGAGGTGACAACTTCCTCTCAAACATGTATTTCAGCCATCAATACCTACTACCATCAGGTTTGAAATCTCAATGATCTCTTTCTTTCTTTTTCAATGTTTTTCTTCTTCTCTGTTATAAAGGTTCAATTTTCTTAATTGGGTTTTGTTTGGGATTTGGTTTTGAGTACGTGAAGGTGCTCAGCTATGGCAGGGAGAGGTGTGTGATTCTGGAAGCTGTTGCTAATGACAAAGACTGTGCCTTGGCTAACATCTTAGCGGCTGATTTCCTCTACTCTTCCGATCCTTCCCAAGCTTCCTCTTTACTTGAAGCTGCTAAATCCCAACTTGTATCTTTTATTAATTTTGCTAGATTTGCTTAGTCCAAGTTTGTTTTTTTATGAATAATTAGAATTTAGTTGTGGCAGGAACGAGCTACCTTTTATGAGAAACTAGTTTTTGAGGCTATCAGTTATTTAATGTCTAGAGATAGAGATGATGAGGTAGCTTATGAATTACATTCCAAGGTGAGCGTGTCCTTCATAGTTTATAGCTTATTTATTTATTTATTATTGTTTTAAATTGCAGCTTATTCATCTATACAAGGGGTATCTGGGGATTATCATCCTTCAACATTTATTATCTCTTACAAGGATTAACGACTTATGTGAATTACTTCTAAAATTGCGTGGAAAACTTTATTGATACACATTACTATTGCATTCAGTTAACTAGCCGTTTCTTCAGACAACAGTAGCATTGATTCTTCCAGGGTGACTTTTATTTATTTAACTGAAAACGTATAGGCAAATGGTTCATATAGAATATCAAGTTTTCCTGCATATTTCAAGTATTATTTTATTCTCCATGTTTAATCTCTCTTGTTGCTCCAAAGCTAGTGGACTTGTCTGATTCTTCATACTAGTGAAGGAGTTAGTTCATGCTATTGAGGTAATCTTAAAAATAATTTGTGATAAAAAAGGCTGACTATTTTGGCTGACATAGACCCTAAATAACAGGAAATAATGCAAATCCAAAATGAACCCCCAGAAGGTTATGATCTAATAAATTTAAAGTTGACTTTTAGTTTTACAGAGTTGATATTTTAAGA